GAATTTTTATCTCTCAAAGGAAGTATGTCTTGGATCTTCTTCAAGAGACAGGGAAGCTTGGAACGAAGGCAATCAGTACCCCTATTGATCAGAACCATTGAATCAATACATCAGAAGGTGAGCCAGTAAAGGACATTGGGAGATATCAAAGACTTGTGGGTTGACTGCTATACTTGTGTATGACAAGACCAGACATTTCCTATGCAATAAGTGTGGTAAGTCAATACATGCATGCTCCACGAGTCCAACATTGGGAGGCAGTTGATAGGATTCTTATTTATCTGAAAGGACACTCGGGCAGAGACATATTGTTTACTGGTCATGGACAATTGAAACTAGAGGCTTATACAGATGCAGATTGGGCAGGATGCCTTGATGACAGGAGATCAACTTCAGGAGTGTGCACCCTTGTTGGGGGTAACCTTGTCTCGTGGAAGAGTAAGAAACAAACAGTGTTAGCAAGATCAAGTACTGAAACTGAATACAGGGCCATGGTACATGGAGTTTCAGAACTTCTCTGGATCCGTTCCCTATTAGAAGAAATTTGTGTACAGGCAGAAGAACCTATGATATTGTACTGTGATAACCAGGCAACAATTAACATTGCCCATAACCCAGTCTAGCATGACCGAACTAAGCACATTGAAGTGGATAGACATTTTATCAGAGAAAGAGTGACTTCTGGAGAAGTTTGTCTTCCATACACCGCTTTTGATCTGTAGCTCGTTGCTGTTCTCACAAAAGTTGTTGCAAAGAACAAGCTAGAGCATGATCTGCGCAAGTTGGGAATGTGTGACATTTACTCCCAACTTGAGGGGGAGTGTTGAGATGGGCCTAGTTGTTTTTATTCTTATTTTAAGTTATTTAGTTAGGAAGTTGTTGGGCTTTAGGCCCATTAGTTTATGTTTTTAAGTTGTGACTATTCAACTACATTAGTAGCCGCCCTACTAAGGGCATCATTGTAATATCTCATCCTTTAAGTTAAGTATAAATATAATGAGGGGTTGGCGGCTAGGGTTAATCTAAGAATCTTGGTTGACTTCCTACTCTTTTCTCATTCTCTTTTCTTCTCTACTGCTGAAATCTTCATCTTCCTCCTCTTTCCCTTCACAAGAAATTCAACTAAATCTGCAATCAGTGATTTCTACTCACCCTTATTTTTAAGATGGTCATCTTTCCACCTGGAATATTTTTGGGAGGAAAAAAATACTAGAATATGAAATGAGGGAAGGGAGATGGAACCTACAACGCAATCAATAGAACAGATAGCAGTTTTCCTGCTCGAAAGTGTTGCTAACGTCAGATTTTTGCTTTCAACAAATAGGGAAAGGGGGGGAAACTTGATCCTACTTGTTTCTCTTTTATGAAACCATAAACAGCTTTAAGAAACAGCCGGATTTGGTTGTGAAAAACATGAAAAAACTTGATCATACTTGTTTCTCTTTTATGAAATGAAACCATAAACAGCTTTAAGAAACAGACGGATTTGGTTGTGAAAAGCTTACAGATTAGCTGCTGCTAACTATTACTGCTTTGACATGGATGAGTTATAAAATTGAATCCATCAATGCTCCTCTGATTTAAGGAAAGTGAATGGTGGGAAAACTGAAAACTGAAAACATTGAAATAGGAATATAACATCTCACATTTCCAACCTGTCATTCCAGTTAGGTTAGGCTCCTTGTAGACTTGCTTCCAAAATATTGCTCAAGGGCATTTTCTTTTCATATTTGTGTCATTATAGCTTACATAAACCCTTATAAATAGTGTTAATCATCCTATGGCCACATTTACTTTTCACTACAAGTTTCAAGACTTGAAATTTCATTCTGGTTATTTAGGTATTGGATTAAGCTGTAATCATCTGTTAGCAAGGATTGAGGAATATAGTTTGGTTTTTATCATTAACTTAATAGAAGGTATGGCCCCTAATAGTGAAGTCCATACATAGTACTCGGTTGGATTGATAACATTTCCACACAAACAGGTGATTTCTTTTTCTTTTCACTTATTTACATCCTCAACATCAGGAAAGAAGGGGAAATGAAAAAGAAAGAAATGTCAACCTTGAGATTTCTTCTGCCCAAAAAATTCATGATAGAGTGCCTCGTCACTAGAAAACAAAATCATTTGCCCAAAGAGCAATTAAACCTTCAAATATCAACAAATTCCATGTAAGTGTAACCTTTTTTTGATGAGTACATAAATGTAACCTGGTCTCAGCAATATGGGCTCTTGGAAGGGGTGGACCAGATACAAACCTAACCTCCAGCATTTTCTGCACCCAAGCCTCAAACCCTAATTGAATCTCAGAGCTCTGATATGGAAATGGCTTGTGAATTTTGGCTGCAGCCTCATTCATTATAACAAGTTTTTTAAAAGTATCTAAGAAATGCATAATTATACGGAAAATGAAAAAAGAAAAAAAAGATACAAAATGACCATATGGAATTAGAATAATGCACACTGGCAACATTGGTCACCCTAAACTTGAGATTTCATATACGAGATTGAAGTTGCATTTTCTGTTCAGTGTAAGCCAAGGATTTGGGGTATTAGCTGGAATTGGGGCCACTGGATGGTAGCACAAGGTTCAGTTGTCGCTGAATGTGACTGAGAAGTATATATCTCATGCTTCTATAAAAGGGTTATCTCAAAGATCACCCCTTCAAGATTTCCAACCACAGATCTGGTTCCATTGACTTCACTGATCTGCATCCCATGGCAAACAGCTTCATTTATAACCATTGTGTCCATGCTGCACAGAAAGTCAATATAATGCTCATTCACCATAAGTACAACTCTAGGAGGGAGATAATAGATTTTATTATGTTCCACCATAATTAGGTTAATGGGAACAATACATGCTATCTGAAGAATGAATGCCATTTTGTGATCATCTTCTTTCTAAAGATTAGGGGTGATTATTTGGTGTAATGGTAAAAATCTTGGGCTGGTATGTGTGAGAATGCGGGTTTGGGACTAGGCTGGGCATTTTGTGTGAAAAAAAATGCAAAGGTTAGGACCCTACCCAGTCTACCCCTCCCAAGACCCCAAATAACTGGGAGCAACATCGAGTAATGGTCTTTCTAAAGATTCTTAAGGTTATGCATTATTTAACCAATCATGGTTTCATGCTCCAATATTTTATATATTTACACATCTATAAAATAATAAATAATATGCTAGCATGAAAGGATGTTCATATTTAAAAACTAATTTTTATACAAAATAAAATAACATTTAATATTGTCAATAGCAAGTACTTTTTTCTTTGTAAAAGGTAAGGTAAAAACTTTATTGCAAACAGAAAAGAACATAGTACAACAGATTCCCAGGGTGGGAGAGCAAGAAGCAGCCCCCCAGTCAAGCCCACAGCTAATTACAACTCCCACAAACTCTAGTTCAGCATCAAATACATAACATGACAATTTATAATGGTATAAGAAATTAAAAAGTTGGTTTAAGCTTCTTTTTGGAATTTCCAGAACATCAATGAATGTTTCTAGAAAGTTTGTAGTGTTTTGGAATCTGATTTAGAAATATCCAATACTAATATGTGACAGGTGTTCCCATAACAAGTGGCTCTTTAAATCTTGTGTAGAGGTAAATGCTATATTGTGCCTGAGAACCATCTTTTGGATCAGGTTCTAGCATTTAAGCTTGATGAAGCATGCCTTATAACAAAAAAATTCCATTTGTGACGTATTTTGGATGGCTTACCTGCTAAGAACCAATCCACAAATGGTGTTTATTTATCAAACTCATGCTACCTAATTAGCTAGGCCCAGAAGAGGAAAAGAGAGCTTAGTTTACAAGGATTGAGATCCAAATCTGGGAGAGTGTCCTAGTTAGATGTTCAATTGCTATAAAAGCTAAGAAATTATAAAGGTGAATGTACAAAGAAAATCCCAACAGGAGTGAAATTGAAAAGACAAATATCACTGAAGTAGAATGGGTTAAAGCATGATGAGCATCAAATCTCTATAGTTATTATATAACAAGAACTCACTGCAATTCAGGAATGTGTAAATTTACTTACCTCTTAGCTCGAGAGACGTAGGCTAGTATAAATTTGCATTGCCCTTCTCCTTTGAGTCGTAGGAGCTTTTCCACCGTATCAAAAAGCAGGGGAACACTAGATTGCTGAAAACTTGGAAATTGTTAAGGAATAAATGGTTTTTGTTCTTTTTCCAAATATTATCAAAAAAAGGAGAAATGTATTAAAAGGTATAGGCTGGTTCATGCAGAATGTACAGAAGATCCAGCTCAAGCTTAGGAATCCTATTACCATCAGACAAAGCCAGAGTTTGTTCTAGGGCCCAATCTTTATTTTTCAGGATCAATGAGGGTGGCCTTGAAGCAACGGTTGGGTTGCTCCATTGCAACCTGGGTGACCAGGGTTCAAATCTTGGAAACAGCCTCTCTGTATGAGCAGAGGTAAGACTGCATACATCTGTTCTTCCCCAGACCCTGCATTGGTGGGAGCCTCATGCACTGGGCTGCCCTTCTCTCTTTTTCAGGATCAATCGAGCAGTTTACACCACTGGGCCTCTTAAACTCAACCATGAAGAAACCCAAACCCACACACCCAACTTAGAAGAGACTAGAATGGAAATATTCCAGAAAGATGTTTTTTTTTTGATAAATAATATTCCAGAAAGATGTTCAAGAGATAGGTTTTATTATTTTTTATTGGTAAGAGATATGTTGTTTTTATCACTCTTTTTATTAGATTGGAGATGTTATTTTAAGGACCATAATAAAGAGGATTTTAAGTTTTCTTTATAAAGAGGGCCTCCTATCGATCTAAAATACTGATACCTCTCTCATGGGTTCTTTTTAATTTCTCTCTCTTTTCCCAGATAATTTCTGTGTCCACCAAGAGAGTCCTTACTTTACAAGTACAACATATTTAGACCACTTCTTGTTCAGGAGTAACGAGTGGAACTATTGTTTGTGCTTTTTGTCTTTGTTCTTTACATCCTTTGCATTTGGCATGCTGTTGGAAGGCCTCAGAAAGACTCAAGATCTGATAAACAAATAGGTAAAATCAAACTACAAAAGCCACTTTGAAGCAAATAACTGTTCAAAAAGTAATCATCACATAACAACAATTAGAATTTGAACTAAGCACAGACCAAGTTGATTTTTGGACCATTTTATGCTAGGACTGGGTTTGAGTAATCTTTCATCTTATGTATGGACTGAGCTTGGCCTGATCACTGCCCATGCCAGACTCAATGTATTCAAAATTGTTAAGGGAAACAAAAGAGGGTGTGTTGGAGAGGGGAGCAGGAGGACAATAAATAAGCACTGAAGTAAAAAGACATGCGGAAACTTTGTACAATGGACTATAATTATAAGGATATAGATGTCAGCTCCAAGAACCAGATCAAACCCTCTTGAGTGTCTTTGTATGATGTGGTTTATGTGATCAGAATTTCCCCACTCTAGCTTTTCAGCTACTAATCCTAGTAAAGAATCCAATAGGAACTATTAGTTTAAACAAGTATAGCTTATTATTTTCCACAAAGATCAAATATATGCCTGGTTTCCTTAAGTTTGGTTCTCTTACCAGAACAAGAATTACATGATCCAGAAGATACACTAAGCTCTATATTCTTATTCAGTATCTGAAAGTTAACAAACAATATATATACACTTAGTGTAAGAGAAGTAAATAAATGAACTCACGCAATATTAAATTAAAAGGTTTCTTAATCTTTAACCTTGCCTTGAGAATTTCGTCATTATGGTCAGTCAACACAACCTCACGACAGAATCTACTGCAGAATATTCCTGTAATTCCTGGATACCAAGTGATAAGAAGCAGCAAATAAATCAAGGCCCCACAGAGGGACGGGAGAGAGGGGGGAATGTAATGAATCTAGAAAAGGTGGTTACCTGAAGTTAGCCACCTTTTAAGGAAAACATAACTACTCTTTACTCTAATATCTTATTGATGATTTCTTTACTCTAATATTCATATTAATGAAATTCAGAATAGTTATACATCAGGATAAACAAATAAATCGAAGCCCCATAAAGGATAACCAACAAGGATAGTATCAGCACGAGACCATTCATTGCTCATTGCCAAGATTGATAAGACAGATTAATACCATGCTTATTTGTATAAACATGTATGATTATGCATAAAAAAAGTATATATAGGTGATACAGCTGTATCCAGTTTTTTTCCATTGCTACCCAAAAGTCCAAACAATGTCTACTGCACATTTTATTGCAATAACTGAACAAAATGGATTTGACACTCATGTAGTACATATAACAAAAGTGAAAATAGATCCTGGATTTTTCCTATTTTAAATGCATTATCAATGTTCACATCGAATCTTGTATTTTCCTTTTTTGTTTCTTTTTAAATAAGTTAGAAGTTGCCACTAAATTTCACTGATGGAAAGATGTTCAAATTATTTAAACTATTTATACCTATCAAGCTGATAGCATATAGGTAGGGAGTCCTACAACTTTCTGGTGGTGGGATGCATAATAGGGTGAAGGTAACTTAGGTGATGAATGATGAAGAATAAAGATGAAGACATTGATCAAAAAAAAAAAAAAAGAATAGAGATGAAGAAGCAAGTAGACAGTTTATTGTATATCAAAGAATATGTAGGAAATAAAGAAGACAAGAATTCTTGCCATTAAAGTACACACCAAAGAGACAGATTGCTTCAAATAAGAAATAAGCATGTCTGTGTTAGAGATAGAGAGATTCCTGGTTACAATCAGAGTACACTAAACCAAACTTATATTCATTAAATCAAGTTTTCTATTTTCAATTGCAATGACTTTATTGACATGTATACTCAATACTAGGGCTTCAACCTCCTTTTACTGACTTCATTTCCAACTTGGAAAGTGACTAGAAACAATTATTAATTACTTTAAGATTAAGTGGCTAAACTGAATGACTTATTGCTTTGTCTTTTAGTGAATACATTATTAAGGAGGCCACGGGCTCTTTAATGGCTGAAGCTGAAGTTGGGTTGAGTACTATAACCTTAGATATTTTGTTATTTAAATACTTTATCCAGTAAAAATGAAGCAAAGTCATTCAGTTCAGCCAATTGAGTCATAATTGAACAGCCCTTGAGACAAACCCATATATAACCTATATTTTTTTTGATAAATAAAAAATTATAACCATCATTTTTTTTTTATCAGTGGAAGAAATCTTGTTAATGAATTTTGAAGATTACATTCAGATTACAATCAGATTACAATCAGAGGTGGTGGCTAACATTAATGGCTGTTCTGAAACTGGTTGGGATGCGGGGGGGGTATCTCGACGGGCTTCACTCACAATGCCTTGGTAGGCTATTTCAGGCACCCTCCCTATTATCCTCAGGTATTTAAGGTATGGCGTCTGCTCTGGTAATTCTGTTCTTTTTTGGGAAGATGTTTGGGTGGGTTCTCAACCTCTAAAAGATCGCTTCCCCTCCCTATACTCTCTCCCTCTTTAAAAAGGAGCCTGTTTCAAGATTTCTTTCTCCCCTAGTTCTCCCCTTGTCTTTGAATTGGAATTTGGGTTTCGTAGAGGTTTAAGGGATGAGGAATCTGCCTGTCTCTGAGGTCTTGCTTCTTTTGGACTCTGTTTGTTTGGACCTCTCTAAACCCGATAGAAGAATTTGGACCCTAACTCCTAATGGCTCCTTTACTTATGAAAACAAAAACAAATGTTTGAAGATTTTTGTTCTAATTTCATTGAGAAGATCTGTACAAATATATACAACTTCTAAGAATCAATCTAGGAAACTAACCCACTAATTTAGCCTAAAAAAAAAAAGAAACTAAATCACAGCCTAAAAAAGGAAAATAATCATAGCCTAAATAAGAAAATAAATAACTAAAAAACAAGAAAGATTCTGACTCGGATTCCACAAGGAATAATCCTTGTCATCCCTTTCCAACACTCCCCCTCAAGCTGGTGAATGTATATCAATCATTCCCAGTTTGGATACATTTGTCTCAAACCCGACCCTAAGTAATGGTTTAGTGAGGATGTCTGCTTCCTATGATCCAGATGGCACATATGGTAGACAAATTTTTCCACTTTCGATCTCTAATTTGATGAATATCCTGTCAATGCGAACATTCTTCATTCGATCATGTTGAATAGGGTTGTGTACAATTGCTATTGCTGACTTACTGTCACTATATAGTTTCATTGGACTATCAAGTGGAACATTTAAGTCTGACAGTAGTTGTTTAAGCCATATTAACTCACAAATCCCTTGTGCAATTGCCCTGTATTCTGCTTCTGCACTACTTCTGGACACAACAGTTTGCTTCTTACTTCGCCATGTAACAACATTCCCCCAAACCTTTGTACAATATCCTGTAGTAGACTTACTGTCCTCAACCGAACCAGCCCAATCAGCATCTACAAATCCCTCAACTAACCGGTTATCACTTTTCTTGAACAATATACCCTTGCCAAGAGTTCCTTTCAAATATCTAAGGATCTGATCAACCGCACACTGATGTCTCTCGGTTGAAGCATGCATGAACTGACTGACTATGCTAACACTATAGGCAATATCGGGCCTAGTAAGTGATAGATAGACTAGTTTTCCCACAAGACGTTGATATCTCTCTTTGTTAGCTGGAGGATCATTCTCAGAGATCTTATGCTTCCAATTCTTCACCAGTGGAGTGCTAGCTGGACGACAACCAAGCTTCCCGGTTTCCTTCAACAGATCTAGGATGTATTTTCTTTGAGAAATGAAAATACCAGTTTTGCTTCTAGCAATTTCCATTCCAAGGAAATACTGAAGTTTTCCAAGATCCTTAACTTTGAACTTAGATTGTAGTAGGCCCTTGAGATTTGTAATCTCATCATTGTCATCACCCGTGATTACCATATCATCAACATACACAATCAAGATTGATTTTTTTTCCATCCCTAGGAGATTGTTTTAACCCATACAGAGACTTCTTCAATTTACACACTGATCCAAGTTGGCTGCCATAGACAAGAGAACCCGTATAGAGTTCAATTTTGCAACTAGTGCAAAAGTTTCTTCGTAGTCAAGCCCGCATGTTTCCGTATACCCTTGAGCAACCAAACACGCCTTGTATCTCTCTATTTTCCCTTCCAAGCCTACTTTCACCGTAAAAATCCACTTACAGCCCACTAACTTCTTCCCTTCAGGCATGTTTACAACTTCCCATGTATTATTGTCATTTAGTGCCTTCATCTCTTCCAAAACAGCAGCCTTCCATTTTGAATCTCTCAAGGCATTATATATATTTGTAGGAATTGTTATATTATCAAGTTGAGATACAAATGCCCTGTGAGTGTTAGATAAACGCCAATTTGACAAATGATTTGAAATCGGATGTTGAGTACAAGATCTTACCCCCTTTCTTATAGCAATGGGAACATCCAGATCATCAATTGTAACAACACCTCTTTGTGAATCTTGTGGTGAATCCACCATAGGTTCCGATTATTGGTTTTGCTGAGTAACACAGGGCCTCCTTGAGTAAACAATTAGTTCACTTTGTTGTTGGACTGATTCTCCCCCTTGACCTTGTTTTTTAACAGTTTTTGGAATGGAAGCGGAACTCCCTTTTGGTAACCCACTTTTCCTTTTCCTCGAATCACTAACAAAACGGATTGAAACCATTCACGAAAATTGAACCCATTTAATTTGTGTTGGGTAATCTGCAGAGAATGGCTTATGTCAGAGGTGGTGAAGGAGGTTCCAAGGAATCTCGATGCATTCATGGTTGAATCTACTGCTGTCAAGTCCACTGTTGATGAAGAATGGCTCGTTCCAAACATCGTTGCAGGCTCTGATACCATGAAAACAGAAACAAATGTTTGAAGATTTTTGTTCTAATTTCAATGAGAAGATCTGTACAAATATATACAACTTATAAGAATCAATCTAAGAGCTATTCTAGGAAACTAACCCACTAATTTAGCCTAAAGAAAAAAAGGAAACTAAATCACAGCCTAAAAAAGGAAAATAATCACAGCCTAAATAAGAAAATAAATAACTAAAAAACAGGAAAGATTCTGACTCGGATTCCACAAGGAATAATCCTCGTCATCCCTTTCCAACAACTTATGCTTCTTATCTCAAGTCCCTCTGTTTTGCCCCTCTCTCTTTGGAGTTCCAAGTCAAAAAAATCTGGTCAAGACCCATTTCCTTTGGGAAGCCTTTTATGGTAAGATCAATACCATGGATAACTTGCAAAAGAAGAGACATTTCTTTTTTATATCCCCAAACTGGTGTATTTTGTGTAAAATGCATAACGAGGATCACCACCACTTGCTGTTATCTTGTGCTTTGCTGCTAATATTTGGAATTGGGTCTTTATGTTGTTTGGGTGCAGGTGGACCTTGCCTTTTGAAGTAAGCCTGCCTTTTGATTCATCTACTTTTGGGCAGCCAACTAAGAGAGGGAAACTAATGTGGAAGTGTATCAGAGCAGCCATTTTGTGGAATATCTAGGAGTAAAGGAATTTTAGAATATTCCAAGAAAAGGAAGGAAGCATTGATTTAGCAAAGAAGTGCATTTTGACAAGAATAATTCATTGGCTAAAAACTTCAGATATGTTCAGAGGTTATTCTTTTGATGATCTCTAGGAAAGTTGGGCAGAGGTGGCCTCCACAGCCCCCAAAAGGAATAGGCTACAGATAGAGTGGAAACCTCCTACAGAGGGTGTGGTAGATAGAATAATCCTATCCCTATTCTCGGGACCAGTGGGAGTTGGAGATTCAACAAGGGCTGACATACTGGCTGTGGGGCAAGGAATACATGCTGCAAACCAACTAGGAGTGGAAAATCTGATGGTTGAGGGAGATTCTAAGGTGGTAGTGAGTTTGTTGTCGAGTCCAGAAACAGTTCTATGGGGCTACAGGGATCTTCTTAAGAAAGTTAATTGGCTCACAAGGACTATGTCAGTCGCCTATCAATTCAGCAGATCAGCAAATGCCATGGCAGATTCTTTGGCAAAACAAGGGGTCTCAAGGGTTGAGTTACTTTCTGCCACTCTATGATTGTATTCTGTCAAGTTTTGTTTATGCTCTCACCTCTAAGGGGAGGTAACATCTCGTTCTTACTCTTAGGGTGAATGTACACATACTTTCTTATTAATAAAATCGTTATTCACTTATCAAAAAAAAAAAAAGATCCATCCCATAAGTACAATATTTCACAGAAGTTCCCAGAACAACTGCTGTCTTCTTTTTTTTTTTTTTTGATAAATAGAACAACTGCTGTCTTGATGCCCCTTGTTTCGCTAGAGTGTCTTCCATTTCATTTGCTGTTCTTCTTACCCATTTGAAAGAGACATTCAGTTCCCTTTTTATATGTCCCTATTTGTTTCCAAAAAGCCCAAGGGATTTGGGCATTTGCTCTTGTCCAACAAATAACCACCTGGGAATCCCCTTCCACTTCTAGATTGTGGAAGCCAAATTGTTTTGCTCCATGTTCCAAAGGTCCTGAATATAAAGCCACTACCGCTTTCTTCTGAGTTCCTGAAAACTCCCCCTATCCCAGCCATAACCGAATTACCAATATAGCTTCCATCGAAGTTGAGATTTAGGATGTGTTGAGCTGGGGGGCTCCAAGCCATGAACTGCCTCTCGTTGACTAACCATCATAATCGAACAGCCACTTGAGTCATAATCAAACTTAGGCTCCAAGTCATAATCTAATTCTGAATATTCATCATTAATCCTATTAAAACTAAACAAAAAAAAGACCCAAAATATAAAGGTCTATTCTCATAATAGAGTTGCACCCCTGTTACTGAAATGATCATAAGTCTCTCAAAACACATCAGATTTACAAGACAGGCTTTGATCCCTGAAAAATAGGCTGAAAAAAGTGAGTGATTACATCTTCAACTTTTCAAAATTCTAAAACTTCTCCAACAAGACATGTTAAACCATTATAACCTTGTAGCTGAGTGGCACATGCAAGAGGAGAAAGAGATGATGAGTAGAGTACGGGGAGAAAATATATGGAACGAAATTTAGTGATGATCGTTTTGACAATGATACCAAGGTAAGTCTTGACACTATACAGTAAACATAAAATGACTGACCTTATTACTAAGACACCATTAAATTAGTAACTAATTTAAAAAAAAAAATTCAAACTGACCAAAATGCCTATTGCCCAAAAATTATAAAATTGTCAATAGTAAAAGAATTTAAACAAACTAGATTACTTCTTCCATGGTTTCTTTCCCATTTTCTATGTTTGCATCACAAGCTAATAGTCAGAAATTGCATTCTTGTATAGTATTTACCTTTATAGAATGTAAGACATTGGAGCTCTAAAAACACTGTAAATCGTTATAAAATGGAAGCTTCTTATCATATAAACTACCACTTACCAACTCCTGAGCCTAACTCAATGACAGAACATCCTTGGAGCATGTCAGAATTTTTTGAAAGGTAATTGTTCAAGAGCATGGCGCCTGGCCATACTAATTGCCCTGTAAGATCATAATCAGCTGCCATAGGACTAGTCAGTATTTAATATAGAATAGGGTATCATTTGTGACAACACACATAAAAATAATAATTATAAAATCTACTCTAGTTTTCATCAAGAGGGTATCAAAAAGCATCAATTTTTAATTTTTCTTGGCACATAAAAGTAATTGTCATTATCAATTGTTCTGCTTTATCTGCTTTTGGGGTTACATGTTCTATGTGATTTCGGTCCTAAGTAGAGTCCAACAAGAATATCTATTGTTGGAAGATGAATGGGAAATGTACTCTGCAAGGCATATACATCAGTAAATATTTGAGCCATGAACCTCCAAAGGTTAGGATATATTTTTTTTTATCAATAACCACATTTCATTAATTAATCACAAAAATATTACAAGGATGAAGATAAACTTTCTTATCTTCCAGCTGGAGCTTGAGCTTCCAAGAGCAGAAAATGGAAAAAATTACACTTGTGCCCAAAACATTAACTCCCTCTCGACTCCTTGCTTAGCTAACCCATCAGCAAAGGAGTTAGCTGATCTTTTCACCCAGCTGATCTAGATTTCCATCTCTTTAACCAGCCATCTAAATTTCCTCCTCTCATTATTGTACATCCATAAACTGCTATTTCCTTTGTTCAGCCACCCTACCACCACCTCCGTGTTCCCTTCAATGATGAGTTTTCTTATATTCATTTCCTTAGCTCTTTGGACTCCTCCCAGAACTGCAAAAATCTCAGCCCTGAGAGAATCACCCACTCCAATTGGGCCTGGAAACATGGCTGAAACAAGCCCATTCTCATCCCTAAACACACCACCAATCCTCGATTGTCCAGGATTCCCCCGACTACTCCCATCAAAGTTCAGTTTTAAAAACCCGCTGGGGGGGTCCAAGACACACTCATTACTGTTTTGGGCTGGGTGCAATTAGCAATCTCACTCCACTTCCTCAACAAATCATCCACTGTGAAGTCTATAAACAACTCTGAAGATTTCAGCCATTGTACTACCCTTATATGGATTATTTCTCTCAATTCTTCACTGTCCCTCTCTACTTCAAGGAAGATCTTGGAATTTCTTTCCTCCCACAAAGCCCAACATACAGCAGCCCTCAAGCATCTCCACATGGTTCTTCCCCTTTTCATTCGGCACCTGAAGAAGGAAGGGGAAAAAAGGCTTTGCAAACTTGTTGGAGGATTCCATCTACCCCCAAAGAGGGATAATGCCCACACCCAAATGGACTTACCAAACTGGCAAGTTAACAATAGATGAAAACCAGTTTCACCATCTACTTTACAAAGAACACACCAGTTAGGGGATAAACAAGTCTTGGGCCTCTTCTTTTGGAGCAAGTCACCAGTATTGATTCTTTCTAGAAAAGCTTCCTAGCAAAAACCACCAACTCTAGGGGGAATTGGTCTGCACCAAACCTCAGTGACCAGGAAGGGAGGGGGAACAAGGCTAGGGGACTGACTTAGTACTTTGAAGAAAGAGACACAAGAGAATGAGCCAGAGGGGATGGGGGGGTCCATATTCTAGAATCCAGCTTAGTAGGGTCCAAGAAAACCAAGGATACCAAGGAGGCTCGAAATACTATTCAAGTCTGTATCTCTCATAGCCCTTCTCAAGCCCAGATTCCACCCAAACCCAGAAAATGAGGATGAAGGGGTAATGAAAGAAGAAACTAGCTCATTCTTAAATTCATAAAGGGCATACAAGGAAGGAAATAAGTCCTTAAGAGGGGCATTCCCCACCTAGATTTGTTCCTAGAAATTTATGGAGTTGCCCGTGTTCAAATCATACTTGATGAGAGGAGAGAAAGTTAGAAGCAGATCGTGAATGGCTTTCCATGGTGACGCACTTGTGATCCTAGCTCGAATTCTAGCATCCCATTCATTTTGCTCCAGCTCATGTATGCTTACCACTATTTTAGGATATCATACATGCAAAATCATTTGCGCTATATCCCAGGGTGTCATTCCATGATAATGGTGACTTATTGGCATGCCTTAATCTAGCAAAGTGGTTGGATGACCCTGCTTTTCAACTATATCGGAACCCTCAACTAAAATTTCAAGTATTTATAGATTCTTATAACCAAGTTTTAGATTTGGACTTTGTTTGAGTACACCACAAATTAACAAAGGTTTTGAATAGCTTTAGTTCTTGTCTTGACTACTCAAATACAGTTTCCTTTCTTTTTTTCTTTAGCTACCTCAGTCTCAAACCATGCCCATGGTCACACTTCAACCAAGTCATTATCTAACCTCTAGATCTTCCTCTTAAAAGGGACATCCAGGATCAGGGAGCAGCCATTATGATCTACCATAAACTGTTTCTAAGAAGAACCTACTACTGTGCTGATGGTGATGTCTCTTCAATTTTTTATTTAAAAACAACTAATGGAGCAACAATCGCATTTCAAGAGTAGAATTTTATAGTTCTTAGCCAAATTAACATCTTTCTCAGAGATAATAATTGCGAATATAGGTGATTTCAGACATTATTATCATAATATAGGCATGTATCGAAGAGAAGATCGAAGTCATAAAATCATTATGTTGAGTTGAGTTCAACTGTATGATATAGTTGGGACAAAGCATTGTTAAGTTTAGTTGAGTTTAATAATATAATATGAAGTTTCAAAACATAAAAGAGAATTATCTCGTAAGAAAAGAAAAAGGAAATGGGTTGCTGTCAAGACAAATGCAAATTCTTGTAAGATGGGTTAGGAGGTCTGCTAATGGGTTGGCAGATGGATTGGCTAAGCAAGGCGTATATAGACATCATTTGTTTTGGGCTCAATGTTAAATGGGTGGGTGGGACTCTTTGTTGTAAAGGGTGTTATTCCAAACAACTTCTTGTTGTATTCTCTTCTCTTTTAAGTTTTAATAAAATTCTTTGAGTTGCTGATCAAAAGAAAGAAAAAGGAAATGAAATCACGTAAAGAAAATGGAAATATTCTCTTTTTCTCTTTTTCTCTTTTTCTTCTTTTTTCTTTCTTTTATGAGGCTYTTAGTGAYTCTTGGAAGATAAGTGTGTTTATCTTCCTCCTGTAAATTTTCTACTGATGATTAATGAAAGTGTTACTGATCAAAAAAAAAAAAAAAGAAAATGGAAATATTCCAAGCATCTTCTGAAAATGACCTTGACTTATTATTGAGATATTGCAGGCCGCTTATGATCAAGAGGGTTAGGAAAATATTCCGACCACTTAACTGAATGAAATTGAAGCTAAAACATGAATGGACGAACTTGTTCTCTTTAACCAGGATGAATCGGCTGCCATCATCTGAATGGAAGGGAAAAGGTAGCCAATCCACCCAGAAAAATATAAGGCAAAGAAAATGGAAATATTCCAAGCATCTTCAAATAATGAAATCCACTTATTCGTTAGTTATGGTAGTTCACTTGTGATCAGGGGAGAAGAAAACATTCTGACCACTAATCCGCTTATCTGTATTAAATTGAAGCTAAAACATGAAAGGATAAACTTGTTCCCTTAACCTAGAGATATTGGATGCCATCATTTGAATGGAAAGGGAAAGGTGAGCCATCCACCCAGAACTGAAAGAAAGGTCTTCCAGCATTAATGGAAAACCATGTGTCATAAAAAGAGAAATGAAGCTTTTCATGCAATTATTGGAAAGAAGTTCAATTTGAAGGCAGTGTAAGGTATAAACAAATAGATTCAAATTCCAAACAATATATGGAAACTAAAACAGAAAGAAAAAATAAGAGAGAACCAAGTAGACAAGAAGTTATCCAGGGGACTAATAGATCCAATGAAAAACTCAATTTAACTTTTCGAGCAATACTCAAGCAGAAAGTACATAAAAACTAAAAATCAAATAGAACAGCAAAAGTACCCTGAATCAAATAGAAGAAAAAAATGGAATACGATAAAGCTTCTGCTTTGTTTCTTCTATCATATTGTGCAACTTACTCGAAGCTGATTGAAGACAAAGGAGCTGAAGAACCTCGGAACCAAATGTGAAAGTGGTAAGCTGGTAGCTGCAATAAAAGAACCAGAAACGAAGATCGTTAAAAGAGAAACATACGCAGGAATAATCAGGGGAGAGAGAGAGAGAGGCTTACTTGTCGTTGATGAAGAAAGACTCGTCTAAGCAGACAACATCATCATCTTCATTCGCCATATTTTGCTTCAGTCATCAGTCTTCGGAGTTAGACTTCAGAAGCAGAGGTTACCGCGGCCCAGCACTTACCGCTCTCAGACGTGTTTTAGACCTACCCAAAAGTCCAAAATGCCCATGAATAATTTCCAAAAGACAGGGTATGCCCTTTTTTTAAACCCAAAGTTATCTCATTCGAGTCCTTTCCCTTTAACGACAAAGGGACTTGCCGCACTACCCACCCAACCGCTGCACCAGGTATGTTCAAGGTATCAAATCCTCACTTTCATCTTGTTTTTCTTGTTCATTTTCGAAAATCTGAGCTTTAACTCTTCCTAGATTGATTTTATAGGGTTTCCATTTAATTCTTCCTTATCCTTTCTTCCATTTTCCAGGCTTTCAATTTTTATTCAGACTGACGAACGCCTAACCACCGGTGAAGCAGCGGCAAAGGTGAGTTTACATAACCCCTTTTCTAGGGTTTCTTCTTCTTCTTCTTATTCACCGTTTTTAGTTCTCTATTTTTTGTTTGGTTTGTTTTCACTGTTGTTCGTCTTTCTGTTCATTTGGTTACGTTTATTCACAACCCCTGTCCTGAAAACCCAACAGTGGTCTACGAATGCAATGATTTGCACAGACGCTGGTTTTATTTGTTGCAAGATTATGGCATAGCTGCAATAAATGAAGAAAATTGTAATATCTGTAATCCATGTCGTAAAATCAGTATATCTGAGAAGAAAGAGAGTTGTGGATAGAACTCAAATTGACTGAATCAATGGGTTGCAGTCCAACCAGCCAACAACCCTGTTAAAATACCCCAAAAGAAAGGAATAAGGGGCAAAGGGGAAGTGTATCTTTGCTCCTACCCTTAAACTCTCTTTTTATTCCTCTAGACTCCCACTTTTTCATCCTAGAAGATGCTAAAGTTTTTTCAATTGAATATGTTTCAGTTATATTTCTGCAAAATTTGCAAAATTTACAGTGAAAACTTTGTTTTCTGGCCCATTTAAATGGAAACAAATGCAGTCTTAGCAGATCAAACAAAAAAAATGTGGAGCAATGTACTGATCTCTGCAACTGGAAAATTTGTCTCCATATGAGTTTTCTTTCTTCCTTTCTTTTTTTTTTTTTTTTTTTTTTTTTGTTACAGCTCTGTAAGAGCTTTTCCATAATTGATGTTGTAGGTTACCTTTTCTCTTTGGTCAGTATAATCAGTTTTTATGTGGACAATACTGTGTAGAAGTTGTTTTGTCAATTAGAATACCTTCCCTTCAGTTGGAGATATCTCGTCATATGATTTTGTTGTAATCTTTAAAGTTTGATTATGCAAAACACATAGCAACAAAAATAAAACATAATGAAGTCAGATAAATATGGTAGAACTAAAGATGGCACAAGAGTACTTTTTTTCTTTGGTCAGTCTAATCATAGCATGAAAGTTTATGCTTTTGTCTCTTTCATATGTTCCTTTGTGTGTTTTCTAATTCCATTACTGCCAAAAATGTACCAAAGGAAAACCAATTTGATTCATAGGATGTTGTCTATAACATTGTACACAGCCCTATGAACATAATAAATTAGATGCAATCTTAGTGCTCAAAATAATCTATCTTTTGGATCTCTCTCTCTTTTGCATGTGACCTTTCAGGTTCTAATATTGTTTTGATTTTATTGAAGCTTATGCAATAGCTGAAGGAAGACCTTTCGGTGTTGACTGGTTTTTGTAAGTCCATTGGAATAGTTGTAGGGTTGGGAAAATTATGGCACTTTGTAATAGTATTTATGTAATTTTCATTTAAAATATCAAGGGCAGATTTTGTTAAACTGAGATGGTGTAGTAATTATTCTTTAAGTTTGTGAAACGAATATATTAATGTTAAATTGGGATGGTGTGGATTGTGGAAAAATTTCTACTTGGATGCATATGGCTATTGCCCAGTCAGAGGTAGAATAGCCACTGTAAAATAGGAATAGCCAAGCAGAATTTGAAAAAAAAAAAACAGCAGAATTATGTGCAGACCCGGCCTTCTCTCCAATACTTCTCAAATTCTTAACTAGTGAAACAGAAGGTGGATTGATCAGACAGGTCTCTACATATATTCCTTCTTTAGCTAATGCTTTGCCCACTTCGGGAGCAAAACCACCTCCTAAAGAATGATCAGCAATACATTCATGGAGATGTATATGTGCAGGGACCATATCCATCTTCATGGGAAATGCGGTAATGCACATTCCAGCTGTTACAGTGAATAAAAGGGACTTGGGTGAAAATAGTCCATTGCAATATCTCACTCAGGTAGAGTTCAAATGTGCTGTTTCCATGCTTATTTGCCATGGCCTGTCTCTGTAACAGTGACAAGTAATAAATAGGCAGGTTTGAATTTATTAGTATTGTGAATATAATTATAATTTTTATTCTAATAATTATTAAGTACCTTAATTTTTATTGATTATTAAATATTTTATTACTTTTTAAGATATTATTTTGTTATTTATTAATTATTATATATTTTATTACCTTTTAAGATATTATTTTGCTAATTATTAAATATTTTTTTCATTGCTCCATGGAATTTATTTGTATTTTCAATATTATTTTAATTTTTAATAGTGTATCTTTAATTGTTTATTTTGTTATATATATTTTTAAACTTTAATGATTTTAATATTATTTATTGGTTAACAACTTTTTGGATGATAATGTATGAAATAGTGCTAACTGGATTCAAAATTACCAAATAGTCTGTTCTAGGGGTAAAATAGTAAAACCAAGCAATTTCAGATGTGGAGAATTGATCCAACACAAATAACAGTATCTATTCAGAGCCTCTAAAATGTAGAAAATCATCTATGCTGCTTTTTGGATTTTAGACACAAATAATATCTTTTTAACTTTTCAGATTTCAGATATCAGACACAAATAATATCTTTTTAACTTTTCAGATTTCAGATTTATCAAATGCCACCTAAGTAATTTTATTGGATCTGTTTGAAGAGACATATATGCCAAAGTAATTAACCCAAAGGTTGCCTTCTCTCTTTCCCTCACCGATAAGGTGCAGCAAAGTGAAGAATCGGCCCTTGTCCACTCCCATAATTTCCGCCATAGAAGTCTGTAAGAAGGTTTGTAAATCTTGCAAAAGCTTTGATTGCCTCTTACACTTCATGGGTTTTAATCTTTTATTCTTCTTCTTTTAGGAACCCTCAGATGGATGCATTTATAGTTTATTCCTGTGCCTTTCATTGCAATTTGTTTCTTTCATGATAGAATTCATTGACTAATGCGATTGAATAAAGCCTAGGTTCTGTATTTTCGTCTTTCACCTGCAACCAATTGTTATTCTAAAGATAAAACTTTGATTTTCTGAGAAATTTATTCTGAGCTCATGGATATTCTGATTTCCTTTTAGTTTATAGTTTTTTGTGCAATTTGTAGTGTTAAAACTTAAAAAGGGTGTGACTCTTAAAAGGGTGGAATGGGAGTTTCTTTATATTTGTTCTACCAATATATGTGAGAGTTCTTAATCTTAATCACATCATTTTCTTCTTATTGGGCTATTATTGATGTTTGTTTTTGGAATCTTATTATTTTAATTTTAATGAACAATAGGCCGAAAGACGGGGAAGGATTTTAATATTTCACCAAGCATAGCAATTCTTTTGTAATGTTGCTATTATCTTCCAGTCGCTTTTCTCTCTCAATATTTGGCTACAGGGCCAAAAATAGAAAAAATGGTTGATCATTTGAACTTTTTTCCAGTGCTTTAAAAGGCATGAGAGGCATACGCTTGGAGGCACGACTCTAGGCAAGGTGCCCCCAAAACGCCCTGAGGCGAATGCCAGAAGCGCTGATACCTCTGGGGCGTACGCCTCACGCGCCTCATGCACATTTCATATAAAAAGATAGAAAAAAATCAAAAAAGAAAAAAAAAAGGAAAGGAAAAGAAAGGGAAGGGAAAAGAAAGAAAAAGAAAAAAAAAACATAAAAAGAAAGAAAAGAAAAGGGAAGGGAAGGGAAGAAAATCAAAAGATAAAGAAAGTGGGTCGGGGACTTTGTCCCCGGGGCTGGGGGGCTTCACCCCCCTGACCCCCTAGCCCCCCTTTTTCAATGCAGCCCAATTTCAACTAGTGCTATGCATCTTCATTCTTCTTATTATAAAAGATTTTTATTAAAATATCGAAAAATGAGATCCTCCTTCCTCTTCTTCCTCCTCTTCCTTCCTCTTCTTCTTCCTCCCCTTCCTCCTCATCCCCCTCCTCTTAAGGAGGTTTACACCTCTTAGGTTCTGAACTATGCCTCACGCCTCTAGGTAGTGGAATGCCTCATGTCATGCCTCCACGTTTTAAAACATTGTTTTTTTTCACTATCAATCCTTCGGTTGATTCCAAAAATTCATAGGGTTATTGGAATTATAAAAGGAGTGTGATTTCTATTCTCATTATGTTAAGAGTATATATTGCATTTGTTTTGTGTCCTTGACTCCTTGCTTAAGAAGAATGACATGAGGAAAGCTTGTTGATGTTGCAGTAACAAAACTAATCTTCTGAACAATTTGCAAGTATAATAGGGATTAGGGTTCTCCTTAAGTACTTATCTATTTCATTGTTTATCTGGTTTCCTTATCTAGAGAAATTATTATTTAATATGATTACAATTTTAATGTGCAGAACTTGATATTTTTCAGGTTAACTTTTCTATTCCCAGAGATGCCTTCATTGACTTCATCTACAACAACAATTACTGCCTCGGCTATACCAATCCAGAAGAATCTTTCTGCTTCAAATAATAGACCTCTAAGTACATGGATTTCCTTTTCCCTCTGTTATTAATGTAAGGATATATTGGTAATACATGTTTGGAAATATGTTAGTTTTCAAAAAGGGGAAATTACTCAAATTTCCCCTATACTTTCTGAAATTACACTCCATCATAGAATTTCCACTAAATTACACATGAAAGCATGTAATGCCAAGAAAACCCTTTCAATTAAATGACAAAAGATGCTTCCATGCAATTTATGTTCGAAAAACACCTTTTTCTTATAGATTCTGAAAGTACCTACTGTCACATCTAGAATCCAAGTATTCGATTGCTGCTTATCATCAAACACAAACAAGGTCAAACCTCTGAGGATCAATTTTTCTTCATAGGAAATTGTCCTTCCCTTGTTAAAACGGATCTCTGACTCTTTCTCTACACTGACTCTTTTTTTGTTGAAATCGATACTCCTTTTGTAGTTTGTTTGGATTTTCTATATTTTCAGTAACAAAGGCTTCAATAGTTAATGCTTTATACACCTAGGCAAGATAAGGACATTTTTGTCTCTTAAAACCTAAGCTTGCAAAAGCGAAGTACTTCTTTATTTATCAAAATTTCTAAAACTAACATGATGGGATTCTTTTGGCCCATGTGATGGATAGCTAACAGAAGGAGGTCAATGCTAAACAAGCATACATGATAGGGGATGCTTAAGCCTGTTTTTGAAAAGTAGGGGAAGTTTCAATGTGTTTTAAAGGAAACAAATTTGTAATGGTCTATCAACTTTTAAAGGAAACAAAAACGAAGACCTTTTTTAAGTATACAAGATAAGATTAAATGAATGTACCCTTTGAAATAAATAGGTCAGTCTTTATGGTTACCAATATTATTAACATATTTAATTTAACCTGATTTTAAATGCATATTGTTTTCTACAGTACTTAACCGATCTGTCTCACTCCTATGTTTATTGAATTTGGGTCATAAATCATCTGAGTTCTCTTCTAAGTTGTGATGGTTTCTGAATGTAAATATTCAAATGGTTTCTGAATGTAGGCAAAGTAAGAAATCAGTGCAATGGGAGGATTCAACTTACTGGATCTGGTCAAATAATGTTGGGGATATGTTCAAGACCATTTCAAATTAGAACTCCCATCACACATGGTAGTCAGAAGCAAAGTGCTGTAGTAGTTTGTTCTGCTGCTTTGGTAAGTTGTTTGTTCATTATTTTTGAAGTCTACTTGTATTGGCTTTCGACTTTCCTTCACCTTTTTTCCTAAGCTTTCTTTTGATTTCTAAACAAGAATTGTAATGGAATAGACCTATGGTCTTCTGCCAAGGCTTTAGACCCTTTTCAAAATAGCTATCTTGGAACTATTTCTTTTGGCGTTCTTTCTCAAAAGAACTAACTTCTCTAGCAGCTTCTTCACCAATCTTTGTCCTAGCAAGTGCTGCCAAGGTGATGTTTTATCAGAAAACAACACCATGTATATCATCATCATCTAGGTCTTGTTTCAACTATATGGGATTGGCTATATTCATGTTTTGCATTCCATTCTGTTCTATGCCATATTTAATTTTAAATTATGAGCCCTTATATCATTTCATACTACTTCAAATCATGTCCATTTTGGTCTGCCCTTAGCTCTTCTAACCCCTTAAACTTGTCACAGATTTATTCTTTTTACAAGTTCTGTAGATAGTCTTCTCTGCATATGACTAAATCATTCTAGTCTACTTTCCCTCATTTTATTACTTATCACCCATTAGGGCTACTTCTAGGTTCCTACAAATGAATTCATTTCTAACCTTGTCTTTTCTGGTTTTCCCATTCATCCATCTCAATATTTACATTTCTATCACACTGATTTTTTTTTGGATATGTTGTTTCCTAACTGCCCAACACTCTACTCCAAATGGTATTACTGGCTTACAACTGTTTTACAAAATTTTCCTTTTAGTCTTAGTGTTATCTGCCTACCTCATAGGACTCCAGATGCAACTTCAGAACATGTTCTTTTGTCTATAACTTTAGTTTCTTAATTTTGTTTAATAATTTGGAACAAGATAATAATTTAAAAAGGTGTGCCTATGCTTCTTTTGTCATTTCATAAAATATCATTCTATATTTTGCATATTTTACTATTTTTCCACCATGTCTATAATTTTTACAATATTTTCATACGATATTTCCGACATGATTCTTATATTTGGATGACCGCGATTTCTACAAACATCGACATTTAAAACCTTGGATAGTTCCTCCCAGAAAACCTCCCTAAGATTTGAAACTGTTGGTCCATAAACATTTGTAACTTGGATAACATTGCCATCATGAAGCTTCAGAACTAAAGATATTGAGAAATTTCCAATTCTGCTAGAAACAAGGCTACAAAATGAAGGATCCCAAAGACTCAGAAGGCCCCCTGCACTCCCAGAAGCTGCCAATGCCTTCCATCTAACCTGACCTTCCCCCCAAACACTTCGGATAATAGCAGCATCTAACTTCTCCAACTTTGTTTCTTGGAGCAGGACAATCTTCGACTTCGACATTTCAGAGAGTCACGAACCACCAATCTTTTCCTTCCCGAACTCAAACCTCTTACATTCCAAGATAAAATTTTTAACTCCATGGAGAACACTTATCAGAATACAAGCAACCCCCCACCTCAAACCTTCTTAGACCCCCTTGCTGCCCCTTCACTACTCCCCGCCTTGTCATTCAGACCCCAAGTAAGTCTCATCATTTCTCTATTTCTCTTTGAGTTGGTTCCTCCTTTTTTTGCCGCCATTTTCCCCCTCTCCATAAGAACTCTTTGTTCAATCCCTTCCAAAAATTTAACTGTTTCAACTTCCATCCCCTCCATTGAAACCCCCAGAAAATTTCCCAGACCCAAGAGCTTTGATGTAACCCAAGAGGAGGGATTAGCATAAATATTACTGGACTTACCTTCCTGGCCCGCCAAGGAATTTGTTTTGTCCTTGTTTCCCTTCAGGTGAGCTTCTTCACTCTGCTTCATCAAGTCAGGGCTTCTCCCACTTCTCTCCGTCTCTTTGGATTGATTTAGACTATTGGCCATATTATCTATTTGTACCTCAGACCCCATCACTGCAATAGGTGCCACCACCAGCAGATTATCTTCCGCAGGTACCTAAGGAAGAAGCTGTTGTTGCCGCCGCTGGTGTTCAGCCTCCGGCGAACTCTCCGAACCAGGGGGACGAGAGGGGAGAGGCGAATCTGGCTGAACATCTCTTCGGTTCTCAGAGTCCGATGACAAAGAGACTGGCTCATCTGCAGTCTCGAGCCCCATCATCTCTGTTTGCTTAGGAGGTTGGCTGACCCAGGTCGGCTCTAACTGAACCAGACTATTGAGTTTCTGTCTGCCAATGGACCACCTTGGTTCACTGGCAGATTTTGAGTTTCTGTCTGTCTCCCTGAATAGGGATACACCAGAAGTTCTCTCTCTCTCTCTCTCTCTCCTTCCTTCCCTCCGTATGAGCGATCTATCTCTTTGCTGTTCTCCCTAGCAAGAACCTTACTTGCTTTCCTTCATATTCTTCATCTCTAATCACCCCACAAAGTCCACCACCACATCCTAAATTAGTAGGGCCCTAACCTGTCTTACATCAGTATAGATGTTACAAATATATTTTTTCTTCTGCCTCTGGATCTTTGGATGGAAATGCCGTGGAACATCTTTTTTTTTTTTTTGATCAATAACACTTTCATTAATCATCAGTAGAAAATTTACAGGAGGAAGACAAACACACTTATCTTCCAAGAGTCACTAAGAGCCTCATAAGAGAAAGAAAAAAGAAGAAAAAGAGAAAAGAATACACTAAAGTTACAGCTTAGCCCAAAACAGTGAATCCCTTTCTGCCCCTTGTTTAGCTAAACCGTCARCTAGGGAATTAGCCGATMTTTTAACCCAACATGTCTTAACTTCCATCTCCYGCACCAGCCACATGAATTTCMTCCTCYCATTGTTATACTTCCATAAACCATTTTGATCTTTAGTCAGCCATCCTATCACCACCTCTGAATCCCCTTCAATTATGAGTTTCTTGATGTTCAACTCCTTAGCTTTCCGGACTCCTTCCATAACTGCAAGGATCTCAGCTCTAAGGGAGTCACCCACTCCAATCGTGGAACATCTTTCCTTGATGGATCTTATGTCCTTGGGACAAATAAGATGTTTTATATGCCAAAGGACTTATTTAATGTTTGGAAACTAAAGGGAGAAAATGTCAAAATGAATTTCTATGGTCAACCTTGTTTGCAGCTAACATGGGATTGTTGAGGGGAGGTGTTCATGTTGAATTGAATAGGAGGTGCCATTTGTATTCAAATTGTATGATTCAATTCATGAATTGTATATTGCAAACTCACTACAGCTTTGCCAAGATTGTGATGTTTCTCATAATATGTCGATAGACATTGGCATGGACCTATTGATTTTTCAAGTTTTAATGTTTTGTACAACTTGAAGTGGTGCTAAATGATATAAAGGTTGATATTTTACAATGGATATGACACTGAAAAGAACAGAATGGCAAAATAGAATTCATGTAACTTGCTCCATATAGTTGGGACAAGGCTTAGATGATGATGATGTTTTGTGCAACTTGTGTGTTCCAAATTCTTGCGTTTTGATTCCAATGTTATGAGCTGGAACCTGGAAGCCAAAGCCATGTTGCCTAGATACACTGGCTTAACACTCATAAAAAAGAAAACATACACTGGCTTATCAAAAAATGATCCACTGGGTTGAGTTATCAAGTGACAGGTCAAGAAGTATCTAGGTTTGTGTTGTAACTATTTATTGATTTACACTAATACAACGAAATTTTCAAGGTAAACTTAAATTTGATTAGAGTTGTCTTCCTTGCAGAATGCAAGATGTGGTGCAGAGCAAACTCAAACCATTACACGTCAATCACCAACAAGTACAATAACACCAATTCAAGGTAATACAGGTTCCCTGAAGTTTGTTCAATGAATCTCATTTTGAGCTTTGTCATAATTTGATTTAATTAAGATCAGTGAGTTAAACCAAGTGATTAAAATCTAAATATCTTGTGCCTTTTAAGCTCCTTGTCAAAATCCATCAAAGGCAAGTTACCAACTGGTTTGGATGGTAAGGTCTTTGATTGCTTGTAGCAGAGACTTGGGATCAATTCCCATCTTCACCTGGGTAGGGCTGTTATGGGTGTAGGGATGGACTACCCCCATTGTGTATCCCTATAATAGTAGTATTGAATTAAAAAAAATGGAATCCATAAAATGGCAGTCTGTCCTCTCATGCCGCATGCCTTCATTATTTTTGGGTTTTTTTCCCTTTTACTCCTATATTTCTTTTTGATCAGCAAAGAAATTCATTTATTAATTTAAATATTTGAAATTAAGTTGCAACAATGCCCAAAATAAGGATGGTCTATCAGCTCCCTGCTTGGCTGACACATCTACCAACCCATTAGCTTCACTTTTAACCCATCTAAAAGTAGAGTTAAATCTCTTTGCAAGTTGATCAATCTGTCTAAAAGTGAATCTGAGTTTCCAAGTTGCTGACTCAATTTGCTTTGCCCATGTTATGATCAGAAGGGAATCTCCTTCAATTTCCAACTCTCTTGCCCCTAATTGTTCAGAAAGCTTCAATCCTTGCAACAATGCTTTTGATTTAGCCTGAATCAAGTCACCAAAACCAATTGGTCCTGAGAACAAGGCCATTACTACTCCTTGATGGCTTCAAAAAACTCCCCATATTCCTGCTCTTCTTGGGTTGTCAAATGAACTACCATCAAAGTTTAGATTCAGTTTATTTAAACCTAGTGGTTTCCACTTCATTCTTTTAATTTCTCTATGTGGTTATGAGTGTGCTACTTCTCTCCAATTTCTTAAGAAGTCATCCGTGGGAATACCCTTGAACAGTTCCAAGGTTTTAACCCAATGTACTGATCTGATTTTAATGGCTTCAATCACCTCCTCTAAGGATTTACATTTTTCATTGAAGATCCTCTGGTATCTCTCTTCCCAAATAGACCAAACCACAACTGCACATACTACCTTCCACATACATCCTCTTTTCTTCTGTTGCCTTAGGAAAGTTGGGTTGAAAAGGCTCACTATGTTTTGTAGGAGATCCCATTTGCAACCAAAGAGAGAATAGAAATAGTCCCAAATACAAGAAACAAATGAACAAGAGAGAAGTAAGTGAGAATGGGTTTCACTACAAGCCTTGCAAAGAATACACATATGCACATGTTTGGCCTTATTTTTTGTAGCATGTCACAGGTGTTTACCTTCCCTAGGAACATTTCCCAGCAAAGAGATTGTACTTAGGAGGAATTGACTTACACCATATTTCTCTTACAGGGAAGTTTACCCCCACACTATCCAAATGACCTTGTATGTTGAAGAAAGAACAAGAAAACAAGCCATCCGAAGCTGGATGCCAAATTCTATTATCAAGGCCATTTTGGTCTAGGTAAAACCATTTCCAACTTTGACAAAAGGGCAAGGAGAGAATCACACTCATTGTCTCTCAAACCCCTTTTGAACCCTAAGTCCCAATTTAACCTAGTTTCTGAGGGTATAACTACCCTAACTATAGTTTCAGCCTTTAGGTTTGACAGAGAGTAAAAGTTAGGGAATTGCAAGCTAAGTGGTTGATCTCCAAGCCAAAGGTCTTCCTAGAATAAGATCTTGTTCCCACGCCCAACATTCAGACAAATGAAGTTAGTAAATAAAGGCAAGATTTCAAAGATTGCTTTCCAAGGGGAATTTGAAGCTGCATTAGCTGCTACTTTTGCATCCCAGTTATTGTCCGTTACACCATGAATGCTTTCAATGACCCCGTGCCACAATCGATCTTCCTCATGGGGAAACCTCCACAACCAATTTCCTAGCAGAGTTGTATTCATCTTCACTAAGTTCCCAACCCCTAGCCCTCTCTGCTCCTTAGGCCTCAAACTTGTCCCCATTTTACTAAATGGTCTTCTTCCTCCTCTCTTGGCTCCCATAAGAAATCCCTCATTATCTTCACTAGTTGTCTAGCTAATTTTGCTGGGATCCTAAAGGTGGACAAGAAGTAAGTGAAGGGATGGGAGATCCATCATATGGATAGCCGAACCCTGCATGAAGGTTGGGCGAAATTTCAAAAATTTCTTTACTCCCATCTGGGAATCCTATTCCCAATTTATAAAACTGCATTTTCAAGGTTCGTTCTTGTAACCAAATCGGACCAAATCTGAAACCAAGATTAGGGAGGGATATACGTGATATGGAATCCACGCAAAAAGCTCCTCCCAACGTAGGTGTTCACACCCAAAGAGTGTACCAAATCCTTCCTCTACTGAAGATGACACAACTTAGGATGAGGTAGGATCAACGGGTAGTTCTTCACCAAGAACTTGTGATTCTTCAGCAAGAATCGAATGGGGTAGTGAGCATAGCTTCAAATTGTTTCTTCCAGCAAGAAACAATATCAAGATCAAATCTTGATCAGATCCAAGAACTGGAGATCGAACAGGGTAGGGCGGCAAGAGCAGGAAGAAAAAGAACTGAAGGCAAGATCA